ACATCTCAGCGAGCTTCCATCAATCCCACTGGCATAGTGCTCAAAAGATCTTCCTGACTGTCTCGAGCCACAATCACCTTTCTCCGTCTGCGGATCAGCGTCCTGAGTCCGAGACTTCACTGAAGTATCCTCCACCAAATTCCCGCAGAGGACAATTCGAGATCTTTTCTTTCCATCGGGCGCCTTCACCGTCGGGACAAGCTTCGAGGGGACCACAAGCATCTCGTTGTAGCCAGGCTCATTCTTCAAATCCTGAACCTGAACCGGTCTCACGGCCCGAGTTGTCTTCTCCAGTGAGTTCACCTCATACTCCAAGGACGGTGTCCAATCCTTCAGCTCCTTCCGAACCTGGGCCAACGGTACCGTGTATGTTTGCAGCACCGCATGAACTCCAGACTGCAACTGACCAGGCGGATCGGATTGCACCTCTTCCTTCGCCACCATCATTGCAGCTGCCCTATAAGTCAGGTTTTCATCCGCAATCTCGGTCAGCATATCCTCCAAGGCCATGACATTCTTTTCCATTTAGTCCAAAGTAGAACCGCGCAACCGACCTTCTTCGTCCCCCACGGCCACCTCCTTTGAGAGATCACACCAAAGCCTTTTTCACCTCCAGTGTTCCTCCTCCAGGTGCTGTGCGAGATCCAAGGCGTCCTTAAGGTCACATGGCATCGTTCCATCAACCACTCCTGTCTGCACCTTCTCCATGGGTGTCTCACAGAAGTCGCGCTGGTTGCGTGGAGCCAATTTTCTCATTGACTGCTTTCAACGGTCAAACGCCTTTGTGGCTGTTCTGGATCAGGCACCACTTGCAACTCCAAGACCGCCCTTTCAGCTTGAGGGTCTGTCGACACTGCCACTTGTGCACGCTGAACTTGACCATCTTCAAACAGCACATAGCCCTGTGTCATGAACGGCGAGGGTCCCATCAAGGTCATAGTTCGAAATGGCGGGGTAAGTGGACCAAAACCTGCTCGATGCCAACGCTTCGACTTCGCAGTGACTCTCCCCCCAATTGGCAAAAGCGGAGGGCTTGGGACCCCCAGCTTCCTCCACTGATGCCGAAGACGTTCTTCACCAACATAACGAGCAACTCCTGGCCACCATTTCTCCTCCAATCCGCTCTCCTTGATGAGAAGCCTCAGTCTTCTTTTCACTTGATGTACTTCACTTTCAATTCTGCCATTTGAAGGTCCTTCATCTCCTCCCGTCATGGTTTGATAGAGGCCAAACTTCCTGCAGAAAGACTGAAATGCCCTCGACAGAAATGCACACTCTCTGTCGGTGTGGACCCTCAGCATACTCACCCCCATGGCCTTGAACCGGCAGTTTATCCGTGTGGCTGTCCTCATCCAGTTGAGATCGACTCTCCAAAGGCTCCACCACGGTGATGTTCTGAACTCCCACGGGTTCACTGAGGTCCTTGGGCAGCTTTGGAACGGCAACTGTGGCAACCATGATGTACTTGACCTTGGTCCCCATTCCCACATCTTCACCCTGCGGCATTGGTCCCAGGATGTCGTAGGACAAACAGTGTGCTGCCTTATCACCCAGGCCACGCCGGTGTGGAGCATCAATTCCCATCATCTCCATGCATCGCCGACAGTCTCGACGGTATGGTCGATGCTGATTTCGAACATGTTCTTTCCAACTCTCAATGTCCAGTTTGGACACCTTTGATTCAGCTTCACGCTCATGTGATTCACCAAGTTCATGTTCATCCAACTTCCGCAAGTACCTGATGAGGCTCTCCTGAATCGCCGCCACCAGGCCTGGTGCCCATGCCGACCACTCCCGGGACTGCAGCAATCTTCCATGAAGAGATTTGGCGGTTTCTTGACCGGTCCCTTCTCCTGAGATGCCCTGCAGCTCCTCCATGTCCGACATGTTGGCCACCAGCAAGGTTGTAGGTTTTCTCTTCGCATGACCAACAGCTCCTTGATCAAGATGGACATACGTCGCCTTCATCCAGGCGGTCATATCCTTCACATCCCGGAAATTCCAAAAGGACGGAGAGTCCTGCTCCACCGATTCCTCCTCCATATAGTCCGCTGCATCCCTCGGAAACTCCATCAGGAAGGCAGGCGGAAGAGGTCGGCGACTGCTGACGGCTGGATCCGACTTCCAAGCTTCCCACGCCATGAGCCACAGTCCACACTGTTTCAACAGCAAGGCCAAGTCTCCCACAACGAGCTCCTTCTCGGACACAGTCAAATCACTGAGGCTGAGCCGTCGATCATCTCTTCCTCTCACTGGCCTAGGACCCGGTGCACGGTGCCGCAATCTCGAGACACTTCTGCATGGGGGGCCCACCAAGAATCGCAACCACTCGCCCACTCCTGGCTAGCTCCAGGTACCCACGGAGTGCATATCATACTGTGCCCCCATGGTGATGTCCACATTGATGATCTCATAGCCCAGCCAATTCTTGGAAGACCAAATGCTTGTGTCCTTGCCACTGTACAGGTTCAAGATGATCCCCTGCGACCGCTGATGCCTCCTCCGTTGATGCCTATTCCAAGGACACAGACACGGATCATAGGCCATCTGTCCACGCATATACTCCCTCTGGGAACTTCGACGCCCACCAGGCACGAATCTCACTGTCCATCATCAGCTCCCCCCGATCCGCCTTCTCCATGACTTCCAACAGGCTGAGAGCCTCTCTTTCAGGTAGCACCGGGCAACCTCCCCTCAGGAGGACCGTTCAGCCGATAGCCCAACGCAACCAGACGATGCAACGGGACTATGACCTCTACAGGTTCCTTGGACAGCAAAGGTCGATGTTCACTTACCTTGTACAGCGTAGTCGAACCTGATGCCAGTTCCACTCGAACAGGTTCCAAGCGGGGAATTTCATGAGGTAGTGCTTCACGTAATCCATTCGTTGCACCGCCATCCAACAGTCCCACTGCCCCACCTCGAGTGTCCAGCTTGCGCTTGAGCTCCTTCATACGCAGCACCTTCACGCTACGCAGGGTCTTCAAGAGCGACGTTGCCTCAGTCAACAGCTCGGCCGCAGCTTCTGTTCCTGACTGGCGGGGAGGAGACTCGCGATATGAAGACGCAGACGTTGTAGGTGGTGACCCCAGTTCCTTGGCAGACTCTTCACCTCCCGTAGTGTCCTTCACACCCTTCTCCCCCTGCTGAGACCTTCTTCACGTCTCCCTTCTCCGACTTCAGACCATGAAGACAATCCTTCTTCAAGTGATGACCTCCACATCCAAAGCATCGGCCCTTCATTTCCGACGTGTCGTGAGCGTAGGTACATGCAGCTCCTCTTCTGCATCCATCCTCACTCTTCCAAAACCTGCAAGCTGGCTTCATTCCAGCTCGGTCACACCTGAGTGAGAAGGTCTGTGATGCTCGCAGTGAACTTTGCCTCAACCAAACTCTTCAGCAACTGAGTCTTCTCTGCTCCACCTCCTGGCTGGTAGGCGATGTGCAATCGATAGAGGATGTGCACCACCGACAGCTGCCGGCCTGAGATCAAATCCCTCCGAATGCCGTCAGGCAACGCTCCAAGCAGCATAGCAATCCCACGCTGCTCAATCCTCTGGAATGCAGGCGCCGCCACAACCTCAGGTCGTTTCCTGATTCTCTCCAGGGGCGTGAGTGTGAGCCACTGAGTATAGTGCTCCTGCGCAACTCCCAAAGATTCCTCCCACCAAGCCTTCGCCGAGTTGGAGATATCCGACATGAGGGGAAAGGCCATCGTCAACCAATCTCCAAACAAAATCGAAGCTCCCTCAACATTGGGCGCAGGCAGCGTAGGCAATTCCAGGTTCCTCAGTGCCTCAGTTGTCGAAGCCACGGAAACACCGTCCCCAATCTTGATGGGCGAGGTTAGATTTCCTCCATTCTCTTCCTCCCTATATCCACGGGCATGATGAGATAGTCCAGGGGGCCGTTGAGGAAGACCATGTAGAGGAAGGTCCCCATCCACCGGTCCTTGAGTAGCACTGGAAACCGTCTTGTACGAATTGGTGTTGCCCGGTTGACTCCTGGTGGACAACCTCTTGAGCTCCTTCTCAAAGCTCATCTCTGTGTTCCCCTTCCTGCGGACCCCGACAAACGCTGTGCTTCACCCTGACGACCAGCGCTCATTGCTTCACCCGCTTGTCCATCCGCAGGTGCTGACAAAGAGCTGCCTCCATTTGCCAGTGGTTTCACACCATCTTGCCCCGCAGGACTCCAGAAAGGATTCATCGGAGCTTGTTGCCGATCCGGTGTAGTCGTAGTTCCACCAGTGTAGTCCAGTGCACGCGGCACCATCGAACTTCTTGCGTCAGCCAGTCCTTCATTGGTCCAAGGCACACCCAGAAAACCTCCAGGAGGTCCAGGTCCGGCACCAAGAGATAGAGGACCAAGGAGTCCTTGACCTTGAACTGGTACTTGAGATGGTTGACCATGTCCTTGAAGCGGCCCTGTCAAAGCCTGCTGCAAGGCCTGATAGGTGCGCTGCATCGCATCATGCAGAGCAGCCATACCTCCATGAACTCCAGAATCATCACTTGCACCTTGAGGAGGATGTTGAGGCACCGAAGGCCTCACCGATCTCAAAGCCCTTTCTTCATGACTCCCCGCATCCCGATCATTTTCCAAAGGACGCGGTGGGCGAAACGAGACTGGATCTCCTCTCGGACCTTCCAAGGGCGGGGTGGACGATGATCTTCGCGGACCAGGGTCCAGGGACCTCGCTCTCTGCTCTTCCCAAGTCTTCGATCTGCTTCACCCTTCAACTCCACCTTCGCTTGCCGCCTCCGCCGCGTCAGCGCCGGGTTTGAAGCCATGGGAGCCAGCAACCTCTCCTGAGGGTGGTCTTAACACGACTTTGGGCTCATAACCTGTGAGCGACAAAACAAAAGTCCCGTGCGTCAGTCACGCACCATTTCTTGAGCCAAAACGCGAGTGGTCATTTGACCGGTTGACACCTTTCATGGTGACTGCGCATCGAAAATCACATGTCCCACAGAAACATTTGTGCTCCATATGCCAAGGACAGAATGGGAAACCTTCTTTTTGAGTGATGATGCCGCAAGCTTGGCGTGTTGTGGTGTGGGTTGGTTTTCACACGAGTCGAACGCTACAATTATGATTTACACTTGCATCTTTGAACGTAAAATGGTTTTGCCAAGGCAAAATTGACCTTCCTCGCATTGGAAGAGAAACTAACTGCTCCAATCCTGGAGGTCTGAGAGATGTGTTGCGGTATTATTGCACATCCTCCCTGAATTCCTTCCTCCTTACTTGGCAGCAGGAACAGCCAGGTAAAAGGCGCGAGATCAGACCGTTGTTGGACTTCTACAACACCATCAAGCGCTCTATGCTGGGTGCTCAGATGCAAAATCTGCATGGGTTTGCCCCTCCGTACATGACTTTGGCTTCCCCTAGAAGTTGAACGCGAAGCAACAATCTCGGACATGCGAACATAAACGGCTGCGCCGATGCCAGTAAACTTCACGCTCAACAGAACCCGTTAGCGCCCTCAAACCAGATGCTCATGCGACTTATGTGTGTGTCGCTCAAGCAAACATCAGTTTTCGACTTGCCACATCTTTGTTTTGAAAAGTTGTGGGATGTTGTCAACATACAGCATGGACACTCATGCCTAGAGGATGACACGCGCAAATCGGGAAGTGCGCAGTGTTTCGAGACAGAAAAGGCCGCTCTTAGCGGAGCCCTGCGCAGGGCGATGATGCTGCCTTCTCGATGGCTGGTAGCCATGGTGGCACTTCAAGGAGAGAGGGCGCAGATCTAATCCTGGAGGCAACGCTGAAGACCGAAGGCCCCACAGGACGCAATTTGATGCTGGCTGAGAGACAGAGCAGCGCAGCAGTGGCGGTTCTAGGTTGGTGGCTTGGACCGTGTTGTGGAGGAAGGGTTTGAGGCCCAGGTCGAGAGCGTGGAGCATGTTGAAGAGAGGCCTCGCGTGGACAAGCTTTGAAGCGTGAGTTCGAGGCTCTAACCAACTTCGAAGCCTTTGACACGTTCTGCAGGTTTCGTCGGCTGATCATGGTCTATGTCATCCCGGCTATGAGCTTGATGTTGAGTTGAAGAGCAATTCACGCACGTTAATGTGTTGGCAGTTGATGACAGTTGCATTGATTGAGGACCAACGACATGTGGTGTTGACAATGGTGCGAACTTTGGCAAAACACGGTACATTGTTGAGCATTGAGGGATACAACGTTGTGCAGCTGGTCGTACAACGCGTTGCTTTGAAAGAGTGTTGCTTGCATGGTGGATCACTGTGCTCGTGATGGTGGTGTGCTTGAGCCACTTGGGCCGATATCGGGCAAACACTGCAACCCAATCAGAGCGCAAGAAGACAGCAAGGTGCAGGAAGAGAGGACTTCAACAGTTGCGGACATTGATTCTGTTGAGCTTGCTGCAACGTTGTGGTGCAATGCAGGGTGAAGGCAATCCTGTGGTGGCTCAGCAGTTGATGGAGCAGATGGCAAGTCTGGTAATGGCTGCTACGAGGATGCAAGCTGCAAGCAGGGTATTGAAGAACCCTGGCACCTTCGATGGGAGTGATCCTCGCAACTTCATGAGTTGGAAGTTCGTGTTCACTTCATTGCTGAACTTCGGTGAGCCCAAGTTTCAGAAGCTGTTGGAGAAGGTGGAGGAGATGGCTGCCATGCCGTCCACGTCAGACTATAATATAGCGCTGAGGAACAGGCATTGTCAAGCAAACTCTACGCCATCTTCGCAAGCTACACGAAAGGCAGCAAGTGCTTGAACCTGGCGAGGTCAGAAGTGAAGCAGAAGGACGGTTTCAGGTTGTGGAAACAACTTCACCAAGCTGGCGACCCAAGTTCTCCCAAGGACAAATCTGCGCTGGAGTGTATATTGAACTATGAGGAGTTGGTCTCACAGTTTGAGGAGCTTTCAGGTTCAGACCATCAGATGAGTTGAAGTCGGCAACATTGATCCGTTGTGCAGAAAGCCTCAGTGAGACAGCGGTTGCACTTGACGATCCAAGAGAGTACTACGTACAAAGAGATCAAAGATGCAATTCTGTCGCGCGAGAAGGCTAGCAAGACACTGAGTCAAGATAGCGTTTTGAAGTCCGTGAACTTCAGCCGACCAGGAGAACTTGGCCCATCCAATGGGCCTATGCCGATGGAAGTGGATCGCATCATGTTGAGCAAAGGTAAGGGCAAATACAAGAGCAAATCGAAGTCATGGTGGAACGCCGTCCATTTGGAGGCAGAGTAAGGACCTGGTCAAGGCAAAGGCAGAGGCTTTGGTGTTGGTAAAGGCAAAGGCAACCAGAAAGGAAAGAAAGCGCAGAAGGGCAAAGGAAAGACGAAGAATGGCAAGGGCAAAGCCTTGGACCAGAATCAATGCAGAGTGTGTCATGGGTTTGGACATTGTTCACGTGATTGTCTTCAGAGAGTTGAACAGGTGACTGAGTTGAACAATCCTGCATTGATGCAGACTCCAATCCACGTTCCAGTGCAACCAAGACCGTCAGCAGCTGGTTCAGTGGCAATTGGACAGACAGTGTCAACAGCAAGTAGCACGTTGAACGCAGCAGAGCTCACATGCCCCTTCGACCATTCAAGCCCTTTCGACAGTCCAGGTGATCGTTCAAGAGATTCCCGAAGCTGGAACTCAAAAACAAGACCAATGCAGAAGCATCATCATTTTGGACAGCGGTTCGGATGTCTCTTTGCTTCCCATGAGTTTTGCAGGCAATACGACAGAGAGTTCACATGTTATGCTGCAAGATTGTCAAGGGACGCCGTACAGAGGGAAGCAACACTGGTGGTACGTGACACTACTTGGTGGTTCCTTTTTACTTGTGGCACTTGCAACTTAGTTAAGACACTTGTAGGACTTAAGCAACTTGTAAGTAGTGCTTAGGGAACTTAGGTTTTATTAGTTTTTAAAATATAGCCGTAAGTTGTTTAAATTACTTGTAACTAACTTATAAGTTCTGTAAGTTCCGGAACGACCAAAAGTATAGTGTCAAGCAAGCTGATAAAGATCATTTCCAATTTTTAAAAAGCCCACAGTTTTGCCAGCTATTGCGTGCCTGAGGCGGCTCAATGAGCCGCCAACCAAAATGACACCAACCACACGGCACTAAATATATATATATATAGCTTCTGGCGGCTCAATGAGCCGCCGAAGTCATCACTGTTCTTGTCCTCCAGTGTGTGTGTGTGCGTTCATTTGCGCCATGTTACCGTAGGCGTGCAATTGTGGCCTGCAAAAGCCTTTGATCCAACGGTTTAACATAGAGCGCCCGTGTTAATTCAATCTCTGTGCAGCGCAGGCTTTTGTTGGCCCAGTCCTGCAAGGCCAGCTTCGTCACCAGGTCGACTCTCATTATCGCCCTTCTTATCATTTGACACGGCGTCATTGCCACTGCTATCCATGTCAATGGAACCTGCATGTGCATTTGCTTCCTCAATCTCCTTAGCTGCACTGCTGCAACATTCCCACCACCCAGGTCTGCGCCCTACTGCACACCTTGGAAACCATAGAGCTGATTCTGCTGGACAACAAATTCTAGACCTGCACCTTTTTTTGCCATGCGTTTGTTCTACGTGAGTGTGGTTAGTTCGGGGAGATTGGTATGAACGGTCCCTAGCCTAAGCCCTAACATAGATAAATTGATGGAAATCGATCACAGCAACCTTAACAAGGATGAGTTTCTTGCTCCAAGCCCTCTGTGAGCAAATGGTCATCACCTGAAACAATGGAGGTGATCTTCCCACTTGTCTCGCCGCTCTGGAGACCAAAGCATCGGATAGGCCTGAAAGGTTTTCCTTCAGCAGGACTCAAAGATCCTTCCATGCAGGAACTCAAACATCGGATGTGAACGGTCACAACCCAGAGCTTTCCTTTCTTGTCACTTTGGGGACATGGCTTGCCGTTCTCCACCTTGACATGATGATTCAGCCAATCAGACGTAGCGATCCATCCTGTCCCTTCATGACAGCGTATCTCTTGCGCTTTACCCTTCAATGTCTTCGCCTTCTTCCCCTTTGGGTCAGCCTCCTTTTGGATCGCTAGCTCCTTCTTCGCTTCTAGAAATAGTTTCCCACGCGTGGTCAAGGACAAGCTCCGCTGGTCGCAATTAGACCGTTCAAAACAGAACTACCATAGCTCCACCTGATATATCTATATATCCGGGTGTCTGACCAACAGCTTCAGACACATAAAATCTGACTAGCCAA